AAATAGACTGGACAAAATAGACCTACTGGACCAAATAGAACTACTGGACCAAATAGACCTACTGGGCCAAATAGACAAAATTTCCTGGAGCAAAAAGACCTACTGGACCAAATAGACCTACTGGGCCAAATAGACAAAATAGACTGGACAAAATGGACCTACTGGACCAAATGGAACTACTGGACCTAATGGACCTACTGGACCAAATGGACCTACTGGGCCTAATGGTCCAAATGCTGGAACCCCATCACTCTGAGGTTTTTAAACTCATCTGATGGGTTTGAAAATAAAACCAATCCAACCTCAGGGAACATAAAAAGTCAGACTCTGTAAGGAAAAACTGGATCTCAGAGGTTCAGAATCGGGATCAGCTGAAGAACTGATCATCTGGGACCACCTGGAGCACCGTGATAAAACCTAATAAAATGTTGTGATACATTTTTAGTCCATATCGCCCTTCTCTACTGGTAACTGTTCTCAACAGTTTTGTGTGAGAAATGCACACTTTCACTTGCTTTATTTTTGTTTTAAAAACAAGTTGTAGGTCAGCAGCTGTGGCTCCAAATCATAAAAGTTATTTCCTCTCAAGGCCCTGAATCAGCCCTAACAGGAAGTTACAGCAGCTTGGTGTTTATGCTCAGATGTGAACATGTGGAAATGTGTTGTCTGATATTACAGCTGCTGTCTTTCTGTTTGTTGTTGCAGGACGGTGAGGAGCTGAAACTGCTGACTAAGACAAACACAGACAGTGAATCTGAGGAGGACTGAACTGCTGCTAACCCTTCAATGAGATGATTAACTGTAAATTAAAGATGGTGAATTTCTGAAGCATTTATGTGTCCTGTCAGCTGGTGAACAAAGTTGATCATGGTGATAGTGTATATCTTACAACATGCCTGTCAGCGCATGTCTGCTGTTGTACTTTGTCATGCTGAGTCATCAGTTTTTGTTGGGTGTATGTATTCCTCTAAGCTGTTAACTGAGGAGTGCCCACCTGTAAGCTAAACTTACAGGGCTTTTATCAAACTATAGACTGTTTTAAATATGGTTTATTCTTTTTAATAAAACTGAAATGTAATGAAAAAGTATTTGCAATGAATTCAAATAMGTTTATTATTAACACATTCATTTCAGGATGTTTACCTACATTAGGAACATTTTTCCCAATTGTGTTTTCAGCACAACTGTTAGAATTCAGCTGCCTTGTTCAGGAAATACGGTGTTGGATCCAGACAGAAGGTGTACCATTAAGAGAAGCTGAAGGAGGGCTGTGTCTTAAAACATTCAGGTTTTTATAGATTAATGGAAGGATGTCTGCCAGACTTTTAAATTGCTGTATTCATGCTCACGGTTAACTGTAAATGTTCAATGCATAACACCTAAATGTTCAATGTGTAACACAGTTAAAATGGTTCAGGTTAAATCCTGCTAAAAGGCCCCATCTGCTGGTCAAAACTGGTACTGCACTCACTCATAGACAGCAAGGTATTATGGGAAATCCTCAGAGCCATGAGGATCGCTGTTGAGGTAACATGTCTCTGCTAAGTTTGATAAAGAAGTATGATTAGCATACTTATAAAAGGATGTATATGGTTTACACTTTTGTATTTTATCAAACTATGTTTGTTTTAAGACACAATAGTTCTGCCATTCTGTCATTGTCGAGTTTCAGAAGTGTTTAGCTTGTGTGAAAGCACGATGGGAATTTCCCATGTGGTAACAATATGGCTCCTCCTTGCAGAAGGAGCGCTTCTTTTTGTGCCAGACTGACTTACCTTCATGCTCATTATGTGAAATGCAGGTATGTTTTACCAAAACACGTCATTATTTTAGCGGATGGTTTGCATTGAGGTTGAGTT